TCCTTCCCATCCCCTCCCCCCTCCATCCTACTTCACTAAGAAAATGGAAGTGGAGACTCCCACCGCTGCAGACTTCTACCACCATATCCACCAATGCCCCCCTCTGTTCCCTGCCCGTTACTGTAGATGCGCTACCTGTGTCCACCTAAACTAATCCTGCACCTGACTGCTGGATCCTGTTGCCTCCAGGGCGTCACTCCAGCCAGTCTGTTCCCTCCCCAACACCATCAGTTTTTACTAGAGTATTCCCGTCATCATACAACCTGCAGTTATTTCATTTTCAAAGGCACTCCTCTTGACCCCATTTCCTATACGTTTTCTCCATGTTTCTTTGTAGCAAACTTTCACAAAATAATTGTATTTTCTCTGGTTCCTCTCCTATTCTCTCTGAGATTCGCTTTGCTGTCAGAACACCATCTACTAGTACAGTCCTGGGTTTTCCTTCTCAATGGCCCTTGTTCTCCCACTCCCACCTGACCAGCTGTCCACTGGGTGCACTGACTCTAAAGCCTCTTGGGAGGTGCAAGGTCAGCCACCACCTGTGCCCTGCCTGGGCCACCCAGCACGAGCTGCACAGTGATCTGCAGATGGCTGCTATTTAAGCTGGGCTTGCAGGTGCCCAGGAGAGACCAAGGTGGGAACCAAGGCTGGCTGCCATTAGTGCCAGGCCTGGGGCCTCTTGGTGAGAGGTATGAGGCATGCCAAGGCTAGATGCTGCGTGTTTGCAATTTGTGAACCTTTAAGAGAATTTCAGGAAAGTCCGCCACAGGAGCTAAGAAAGGCAGTTTGTATAGAAAAGCCACTGGAAACAACTTGGGCGGCCCACAGTTTGGGTGAGGCAGGGTCTCGGGGGATCAACAGGGAGGGGCAAATAGTGTGAGCCACGTTGATGGAGACTCAGATATGGCCCCTCCCTTCAGGCTCATCAAGGGTACTAGTGCCTCTGCCAGCACTTTTGTCCGACAGAAAGCTGCCCCTCCAGCTCTTGCCCAAATGCTGGAAAATTCAGTTCCTCCCTATATGTCCCTTGTGCCTTTCGAGCTGCTGCCCCAGTGCTAGAGCTCAGAGGGAGCAAGTCTGAGTCAGTACAAAGGCCCTCTAAGAGGAAGTGCTTGGGACTCCAGCAGCCTCAGTCCCTCTCAGCTTCCATCTCCCTCAGTCACCTACCCCCACTGTTTTTTAAAGCCAGAAGTTACGGGGTTTTTCTCTTCCTGCCACTGAAACCCTGGGCTGGGGGGAATCTAGTGTGGGGCTAGGATTCCTCACTCCTCAGGGGGGTCCTCTACAGCCAAGGTATACCTTCTGATTTTTATCTGGCACATGTGGGTGTGGGACCAGCTCATTCCATATCTCCACCCCTCTTTCCAGTCTCAATATGGCTTCTTTAAATCCCTAGTTGTAGGACTTCCATTCAGCTAGACGTCAGGCAGTTCTGAATAATGCTTGTTCTGTAGTTTAATTTGATGCGGTTGTGTGAGGATTCGAGTAACTGCATTTACCTACACCAGTGGTCGGCAAACTCATTAAGTCATCAGAGCCAAATATCAACAGTACGACGACTGAAATTTCTTTTGCTTCTGCGCATGGGCCACGATAATAAACTTTACTTAAAGTTTTAAGTCAACTTCGCACTGTACGTGCGCTCCCGCACGTGGTATTTTGTGGAAGAGCCACACTCAAGGGGCCAAAGAGCCGCATGTGGCTTGTGAGCCGTGGTTTGCCAACCACTGACCTAATTATGTTGAGAGAGGGTACCTCTGTGGAAGGTGTGACAGAGGCAGCAGACCAGAAGCTCCAAGATTTCTACCAGAAACTTGGGGTGTATACAGATCAGTACTGAAGGCTGATCATAGGACAAACCACACAGTGGAAGGGTGGCATAGCAAATTTCAAAGCTGATGGTAGTGTATTATCCTTCAATTTGGAGTTTATTTAAGTGTTGAAAGATAAACAGTAAAGCTATAAAGTTACCAGCCAGGTTTTGGTGGTCACACTCAAATATAGCCACCAATTTAACAATGATACCAACAAAATACAATTTGTATAAACAAAATTGTTAACAGATATAACAAATATAAAGCCAGTAATCAGGTTGATATATTCTTTTTTTTAAATGTTTTTGATTTTTTAGAAAGAGGAAGGGAGAGGACAGAAACATTGATGATAAAGCAATATCAATTAGCTGCCTCCTGCACATCACTACCAGGGATTGAGCCCATAACCCAGGCATATTCCCTGACCAGGAATTGAACCAGCAACCTGTTGGTACATGGGACGGTGCTCAGTCCACTGAGCCACACGAGCCAAACAGGTTCATATATTCTTTAGAGCAATTGCTCATGGCTTTACAGAGTAACTCTGCCAAACTTCATGACAAGGAAAAACAAGAATAAATATGAAACCCCAAATTCATCATAAAAAAATAACAATTTTAACAAAGTTAAATGTATTTAATGAATTGTGGGCCGAATGTCTCAGTAGGTGTTTTGGACAGGAACAAATGTCCTGCAAAGATGTAATAAAAATGCCGTATCAGAAAGAAAAAGGTGAATTAAGCTGCAGGGACAGCTGGCTTATTTCAAGAATAGAGAGCTGCTTACCTCACACAACATGTAACAAGAAACACCACAGACGGATGTATGAATAATGCAAGTATACATGTCTGCTTCACATGTTAAAGGCGAGACATACCTACCACAGTACTCAGTTCCAAAAGGAATGTACTTATGACAACAAAGCAAAAACACAACTCCAACTAGGAGAATAAATTTCTAATGCTGAGCCTTTACATAGGAATTAAGAAACACTGCTGCTTATTCTCCATCGGCTCCACCCAGATCTCTGTGCCCCTTGGGCTTACCTGCAGATGGCATCTGCTTAGGTTCTCCCTAGGGAGGCACCAGCAACTTGGTGTCACAATTCTGGAGGTGACCCCTCCTTCTTGGGAGCAAGTCTCACTGGGCTCTGGTAACACTTGCTTCCATCCTTCACCCCTTTAGGATTTAGAATAGTGCAGATGCTAGTCTCTAGGTGATTCAATAGCCCGTTTTTGGTCCACTGTAAGTCTGCCATTAAAATCTAGAATTCTGTTTTTCACCAGAACCATGCTGACACAAGACCTACCCCATATTAAATTGTCAAAAGAAATAATTCTTCCCAGCCCGACCAGCATGGCTCAGTGGTTGAGCATCGACCTATGAACCAGGAGGTCTCAGTTTGATTACTGGTGAGGGCATACACCCTGGTTGTGGGCTCAATCCCCAGTATGAGGCATACTGATCAATGATTCTCTTTCATCATAGATCTATCTCATCTATCCCTCCCTCTCTGAAATCAATAAAAATGTATATATTTTTTTAAATGAAATAATTTGCCCTAGCCGGTTTGGCTAAGTGGATAGAGCCTCAGCCTGTGGACTGAAGGGTCCTGGGTACATGCCCAGATTTCGGGCTCGATCCCCAGTAAGGGGCATGCAGGAGGCAGCCAATCAATGATTCTCTCATCATTGATGTTTCTATCTTTCTCCCTCTCCCTCTCTGAAATCAATAAAAATATATATTTTTAAAAAAAGAAATAATTTTCCCTAAAATTCACTGTATTTTAAGAATATTAACACTTAGAAAATAATTCATCTCTATTGGGGGAAATGCCTTCAGTTCTAAATAATAACCCTAAGAATAAATGAGAAGCCATTATTATCACAGTAATATAAGGTCCTGAGAGAGAGCAAGCCCATATAGAGTTGCATATCTTAAAGCTAGGGTTTTCTCATCTTGTGTGCTGTTACCTTTGGGCTACTGCCCTTTAGAGCCATTATCTATAATTTGATACACTATATAGACATGAAAAAGTCCATTATAGTAGAGACAATCTTCTCATGTCATGACATTTGATTGCTGAGATCTTTCCCCAAAGCACTACAGAATATTTTCCAAACATCTCATATCTCACATATCCACCCAACAAAATCATTAGCATATCCATTACTAACTCAGACTAATTTGGATTTACCTTTATATCATCTGGGTGAGGGATAGACAAAGAAAAAACAGCCCAACAAATAAGAAGTAGAGTCTCTTGGAACTGCTTATCAACATGTTGCAAGGAATCATAGGAAACAATAGGACAAAGGCAAAAGGGACAGTATGTAACACTCTATTATATGAAATACAAATACATACTTCCTGGATTACATACAACTCAGGTTACACATATCATGCCTAAATAGATACAGCAATGAAATACCAAGAGTATGAAAGAGGCATTTCATTACATACAACTATTTTTTTTATTTGTACAATGCAATATTACTGTTTATAACTAATATTAATCTTTGTGGAATTTATGTATCACTATTAACAGCATTTACAGTATTGACTGAGAGGCTGCTTAAAAAAACTCAGTAAAAAATGTTTGATTTTTTAATGGAAGTAGTTCAATAATAATGGCAGTACTCATTCATCTATGAGGAAAGGTAGGTGACGTGGCTGTAAAATAACAAATACTGGCCGTACTCTAAAGAGACTTGGTAGTATTGAGAATAGAAATGATGCAGAGGTGGTTAAAAACCTCACAGAAACATATTTTGTCTTCTTTATTGAAGTGGCAGTTCAGCAATGACAATAGCCATGTATTTATGTCAGGAAATAGGAGAAAAGGTATGTGGTTTTCACTTTAACTCTTCCAAATATATTTTCTTATATCCATAGTGGTGTGCTGCTAAATACTTGACAATAGGTTATCTAAGAAAATAACTCTAATATGTAGAGTTTGCCAATTTCCATTGTGTAAATACTCACACTAAGCCAAGCTACCAACATGATAGCACTGAATGTAGAGATGGAAAGAGATGTGCAACTGCACATCATTACTCAGTATTCTCTCCATGCAAACTCAAAAATATAAGTAACCTAAAGAACAAATAGCAAAATATTATAAAATAATTAGGAAGTAATGTGTTGAGTATTACCTTTGTTTTTAATATAATTTAATTATAATTTTATGTAATTTAATTTTTAAATGACTGTGTTTAACAACTGGCTGGCAAAATTCCTGAAAATTTAAATCAGCAGTACTTCCAAGCCAGTATGAACTTAATCTAGCACATCACTATAGGTGTGTATAAATATATTTACATGTACATATGTAATTATGTTAACCTACAAAGATACTGGTGGTATTTAGTGTGGGAAATATTACTATAGATCACAATAGTTGTTTAAGTGTTCATACTTTCTCTTCACAATTAATGTTGGACTCTAATATATAAATCAAGCATACCTCAAATTTCTATTACGTTCTTACATAGGTCTGAACACATTAGGGATTCTTCACATGAATGTTTAATGCTATTGTCATTCAACATTTTTTAAGCTTCAGATTATACTGTGAATATCAGTATAAGTGAGTATCACACATTATATTTACAATAAAGTTTTGGTATCACATTTGGAATACGATACAACATAAATTCTCTACAAAGATTTTTACCATATAACTTAAATGAACAAATTTTTCCTAAGTACAAATTTTCTGACAAAAGTTTATTTTTTCTTAAAAGCTTCCACATATTTAAAACATTAATAAGGTTTTATTCTTATATTAATTATCCGAAGTGCAGTAAGACATAACTTTTGAGTAACTTGTGATGTTCTTTGGGTTTCATTGATCTTATTTTTTAAAAACTGAATAATGAATTTGAAAGGGTGGACAGATTTCTGAACATTCAGGATGTGGAAAGAGCTTTCACCCTTGTGTGAATTCTCTGATGTTTAGTGAGTACTGATCTCTGACTAAAGGTTTTCCCACATCCATTACACTCATAGGGTTTCTCCCCTGTGTGAGTTCTGAGATGCTTAGTAAGAGCTGATTTCTCACAGAAGGTTTTCCCACACTCATTACATTGATACGGTTTCTCTCCTGTGTGAGTTCTTTGATGTACAATGAGGTTTGACTTCACACAAAAGGATTTCCCACATTCATTACATATGAAGGGTTTCTCTCCTGTATGTGTTCTCTGATGTACAGTTAGCGCTGACCTGTGGCAGAAGGATTTCCCACATGTGTTACATTCATAGGGTTTCTCTCCTGTGTGTGTTCTGTGATGTTCAGTGAGGTTTGACTTCACACAGAATGTTTTTCCACACTGGTTACATTCATAAGGTTTTTCTCCTGTATGTGTTCGTTGGTGGTTGGTAAGGTGTGGTTTCTGACAAAAGGCTTTCCCACATTCAGCACATTCGTAGGGTTTCTCTCCTGTGTGTGTTCTCTGATGTTGAGTGAGGTTTGACTTCTCCCAGAATGTTTTTCCACATTCAGCACATTCAAAATTTTTTTCTCCTGAGTGAGCTCTTCGAGGTTGGGTGAGATGTGACTTCTTGTTGAAATTATTTCCATTCTCCTTGTGCTCATAAGGTATTTCTCCCATATGTACTATCTGATGTTTAAAGAGGGCTGATTTCCCCCCCGTTTTGTGACTTACTTTATATTCATGGGGAATTTTTCCTGTGTAAGTTCTCGGATGAATAATGAAAGTTGAATTGTCACAGAAAATTTGATCATATTCATTATATTCATAAGGATTCTCCCCTGTAAGAACTCTCTGATGTCCCAATCTTAAATCCACATAGAAGGAATTCCCACAAATACTGCATTCATATGGGTCCCTTTCTAAATGAGTTCTCTGAGATAAACTGAGCTTTAAGTTTTGGATGGAAGTTCTTTGACATTCATTATATTCACAGAGTGTCTCTCCTATCTGAGATCTCTTATTTGAGAAAAAGGCTGCCTCTTCTTGGAAGCCTTGTCCATTTTCATTATACTCAGAAGGCTGGTCGAAAATTAGCTGAGTGAGATCCTGGCCATGACTAAGGATATTCCTTTTTTGATCATAGTTATAAGATTTCCCTCCAGCAAGAGTTTTCTCATGCCTAATATCAAGGAGCAATTTCTCATATAAATTAAACGTATCAGGTTTTGTTCCAGAATAGTTCTTTCTACTAATAATTAAGTCTGAAATATTCTTCAAACTCATTTCACAAGAGGCACATATCTTATATGAAAAATTTCTTGAAGGAACACAGTCTTTACCCAGATTGAAAGTTTTCCTTACTCTATCACCACCATGTATATTTAATGTTTTGTTGGTGGTGACAGCAAATTGCCAAAAATGCCCATCTTCATTTTCTTGGCTGCTCTCTTTTAGGGCATCATCTTTCCAGTCTTCTGGAAATGAGAAAAATAACCACATCTTATGAATTTCAGTACATTTCTAATGGAATTGGACTTTCACACAAATGCCCTATTATGCAATAGATCCTTTGTTTTAGACCCAGTTTCCTGGTATGAACTAAATCCAACTATATATTTCCTTTACTGTTCTGGTTGGAGTGGAAAATACATGTTGCAGTGGAAGCAGGGAAAGGAAAGTGGCAATGACATTTAGCACTTTATAAATATACTAGAGGCCTGGTGCACAAAAATTTGTGCACTCGGGGGGGAAGAGGGGTCCCTCAGCCTGGCCTGTGCTCTCTCGCAG